TTTGCATTAATATGTTTGCCTACATAAAAAGATGTCTTGTGGAGTCCATCAATAGACTGTGAGGCCCTAGTCAACATCTATGACTGTAGTGAAGTGGAGACAGCAAAGGATTTGCAGTCAAAAGTCATGTATATTTTCTAAACATTGGCTTTTTTTCACCTAAGACCTATCTTAAAGAATGAAATGAAAGTAAGATGAAACAATGCATAGGCAAGTACAAACTATCTTATAAATGAAAGAGCCATAATTGACAAATTAAGTGGAATTTTTTATCTTTTCAACAAGTTATAATTTATATGGTTCAGAAAACAAATACAATAAGGTGAAGAGTCATTTCTACCTATCCGTTACAGTTCTCATTACTTTCCTCTCATAATAGACTGTGTATCCTTCCAGAATTTCTTCATGCAATTACAAAGAGATATTCATATTTTCCCTCTTTTTTACATAAAAGGTAGAATAGTATACTGCCTTGAACTTTTTTTTTCACTTAATGTATCTCGTGGAGCCTTTCATAACAATACGTAGAGAATCTTCCCTTTTTACAGCTGTATGCTATTTCACTGTATGTACTGAAGGTTCACAGTTCACGTGATCCAATATTTGGATTATTTCCATTTTTCTTGTTGTTGTTAATGCGATGCTGCATATTAAAGACCTTGGACATAAGTCATTTCGCAAGTGGTATCAATATCTAAAGGATAAATTTCTAAAAGTGACTCTGCTGGATCAAAGGATATTTGCATTTATAATTTTGATAGTCAAATTCCTTCCATTAGGGGTTGCAGTGATTACACTCCCTAGCATTGTATATGAGTGCCTGTTTCTCCAATGGAGTAGATTCTCAAACATTTGGATTTTTGACCATCTGGAAACCCTGGTGGCGTAGTGGTTAAGAGCTATGGCTGCTAACCAAAAAGTCAGCAGTTTGAATCCACCAGGTGCTCTTTGGAAACCCTATGGGGCAGTTCTACTCTGTCACCTGGGGTCACTACGAGTTGAAAATCGATTCAAAGTGTTTCCTGCTGTCGCACATACGGTCGCTATGAGTCAGAACTGACTCTAAGTCACCTAACAATAACAACAACAAAGGCCATTTGTGTTAACCGTTTTAAAAACAATCATCAAATATTTGATGGTGGATAAGTGGTTAGAGGGTATCTAAGATTCATTACAACTCTAACACCCGATTATCTGATCAACAGTTGAGGCAAAAGGTAAGAAAGCAAAGAACTGAGGTGAGAGATGCTCCAGTTGCTCCGACTAAAGTTAAATATCCAAATACTCCACTAGAATGTGAGCCCTGGAAAGTGAAGGTTACACTTTATATCTTATATTCCCAGCACAGGGCCCAGAATCTTGCAGGCACTTAGTCATTAATGGAACACTAGGGATGATATTAGCTATACTTGAGAATTCCCTTCCAGAAGTACCCAGCTAGCATTATGATGTGGATAATCTAGACAGCTTGCCAATGAGTTATGGTCGTTTATTATGTCATTAGGGTACAGTCACCATAAAGCTTATCTAGGAAAAGTAATCTGAAATGAACATTGTTGGCTATATAGGGTCAGGGTCTGGGTCTGGCTTGTTTGCCACTGGTTCGGTATAGGGCAGGCACTCAATAAGCTTGTTAACTTTGCTGAAGGAATGAATGGAAATTTGCTTCAATGAAGAAACCATCATAATGCAAACAGAAGGATGATGATCCCCAAGAAATTTAGAGGACAAGTTGGCAAGACTCTGACAGTGTCCTTCCCACCCTATTTTAGAGGAAAGGAGCTTTTAATTCTTGATCACCTGGCTCTTTAGGTAAAAGCATTCCCAGACTATACAGGGGCAATATATCTGGCTATAATAACGGCATTTGGTTTTGTTCTAATTGTGTTCAATAGACACTGTTTGATTTTCTCACTGCCTCTTTTCAGGTGGCTCCCTATTCTGAAAGATTGTTTGCTGCATTCTACCATTCACATAATTCAAATGCATAGCTAAACTTAATTTCAGCATGGGGAAATTTCGAAGTCCAAATCATCTATAGATGAGATACACTGCAAACATTTTGCTGTTAGTGGGCTTAAAACAATGATTCTCAGTTAAGGGTGTGGGATGGCAAATATTAGCATCACTTAATTTTTTTTTTTTTAACACACATACGCTGTTCCTTTCAAAAGATATCAGACTCTCCTGGGGGAAAAGTTGGTCAGATACCACTGGAAAAGCTCCCCAGGTGATTCTAACACCTTCCCACCTCCCACCTTCACTCTCACCTCTTTTCAAGAACAAAAAGCACTTCCCAGATATTTTCCCTTTCCCCACTCCTTTGCTTTCTGCTGGAAACAGCTAGTTGTTTCCAGGAATCAGTACACTGGCATTTTACTTCCCTTGGAATCATCTCTGTGTCCTGTCATAACCTATGGCATGGGAACTGCTCCCACACTGTCCCTAACCTCTGCACTCAGAACTAAAAGAAATACATTTGCTCCATGCTCGGTATATAGAGCACAATACGTTTCTTTTTTTTAAGCAAAACAACTAGATATTATATAGTCTTCTATATCTCCTTATACTTCTGAATGCACTTTGTAAATTTTCATAGTTCCCTTTCTCAGGCGTTAATACTTTCCCAACTGATATTTCCCCTGTGGTTGAATTCTGTCAAGCAAAGTATGTCAGGATGCTTAAGCTCCCCCTACCCCTTATTATTTTACTGACACTTAAATCACCTAAAATAATCCTAGCCCACTCTCAGCTTTTCACAGAGAAGGAAACCAAGACCATAAAAGGTTAAAGAATAACTCTGTTAAGGTCAGAGTGGCCGAAATCTGACTAGAATCCTGGTTTCCTAAGTACTGATTTAGTATAGTTTTCTGCTATACCACATTACCACCCCACCACAAGTTATTTATACGTATATTTAACACACACTGATGAGCACCCATCCTGTGCCAGGCCCTGTGCTAAGATGCTTTCACAAACTATTCCATTTAACTGAGGATTAACATATCACATTTTTTAAACTAAAATAAATTATCAATTCAGGGCAAAAACTGGAAACTCATTACAATCAATTTTGGGAGAAGGGACTGCCTAAAGGGAATTTCAGGTGAGAACACTTTTAATCAGTGGGACCACTCTACTCTTTTGTCCCAATGATGCCCTCCCTTATATACCCCCTTCCCTTATACGCCCTCCTCCCCAAAACTCAATTTAGATTAGCTAGGGTGTCTACATTAATTCAACACTCTTGTCTGACCTGGTTAAGTTGCTGGTTTTCTTCTTTCTTTCTGAAAAGCACTTTCCTGGATCCTGCACCAGGAACAGAATCTCAGCCCCGTTCCTCTGTTCACCTCAAACACCCCTGCTACAAATCTGACCTTAACACCCACCCTTTCTCTTCCACTTGCACCAAAGAGGAAACAGACACAATGTGGTGGAATGGTCTTGTAAATAGTTTTGTCCATTTCAATGAGTGTGACAGCAGCTGTTCTTTGCAGCCTAAGGGGAAGGGCATCTATGCCTGAAGGGAAGGAAGCCGCTCCCCAACTAGGGATTCTCAGTGGCAGTCTGAGGACTTTCAGATTTAGAAGTCTTGGTGCGAGCCGCCTTGACGTCCTGGGTCTTAGCCTGCCCACTAGAGGTGCGGTCGGTTTTAACCGGGCTTGGCTTCTGGATGGTTCGTTTTACCGACTTCTCGGAGTCCTGCTTCTTCTCTTCCCTTTGCTTTGAGCTTGGCCTCTTGGCCTCTCGTGTTGTAGGCCTCATCTCCTTCGAAGTCCCTGGTCTCCCCTCTTCCATCACCTCGGGTCTCGCTTCCTCCTTGGCCCTCGGGCGCACCTGGCCCTTGGCTCTTGGCCTCTGCCTCCTCATCCTCAAGGCCACCTTCGTGCTCCGCCTCCGTACTTCCCTGGCCTTCTTGGCCGCCTTGCGAGGCGGGCGGCGCTTCCGTGGGCTCCGGGGCCCCGGTGGGGCCTTCCGCGGAGAGCGGGAACTCTCTTCCAACCTCGGGCGTACTATCTTCCTCCTCTTAGGCTTCGGATTCTTCCAGACCCTGAAGTAACCCGCGGCGTCGCTGCCGCTAACCCGGAGGAGCGTGCCCTTAACCTCAGGCCTAGGCGTTTCGCCCGACTGGCGGCCACTCTTCCTGCGCACTTCGTAGCCCGCATTGCCAAGCTCCCTTTTGAGAGCCGCAAGAGTCAGCCCTTGGTGTTCGGCGATAGCCTGGAGCAGCAGCTGGGACACTTTGAGCACGGAGCGCGTACCCCGCCTTCGCGATCTCGCGAGCATTTTTCCCACGGGCAGCTGGGTTTTAACCTGAGCGCCAAGGGATTCGCCACTGAGCTCGGCCAGCTCGGCCTCCTCAGCCATGGCCCCGCTCCCGCCTCCGCGGGGCCACTGGCTTTGGGCGTCACCGCCAAGGCGTGATCTAGGCTGAGGCTGGCCGGGCTACGTCACAAAGGCGGGCGCAGCCGAGATATGCATGTCCTAATAAGAGGGCTGTCAGGTCTCATCCAGGTAGCGGCCATCTTCATTTCTAACAACCAATCAGACGCCACTTTCTTCTTGGTCGAAACCAATCGAGATTTTCAGCGCCTGCGCACCCCTAACGAGCACAGTCCTGTGTAATCTCCAGAGTTTTGAGCCCTAGTGCATTGCCATAGGAGCCTTAGTGGCGCAGTGGTCAAGCATTTGGTTGCTAATCCAAAGATCTGCAGTTCAAATTCACCAGGCGCTCCTTGGAAACCCTATGGGGCAGTTCTACTCTGTCCTATAGGGTTGCTATGAGTCGGAATTGAGTTGACCACAATGGGTTTGTTTTGGGTTTTAAATTGCCGTAAATCAGAATAGACTCCACTGCAATTAACAACAAACAAATTCTCATTGATCCTGACCTCGACCTCCTGAAGTCCGCTAGTTTTCTGTGGCCTTGCATACCGTCTTACCCACAATTCCCTAAGGTGAGAGAAGCTATTCCCAGCTATAGTAAAACAAGCAAGGCAATGCCTATAAAAAGTAAATGTGCTTGTCTGTGAGACACAACTCGGCCTAGAAACTCACGTTTAGGTTAGTTCTCATCAGTTACTTATCTGCAGTCATGTCTCCCTGACTCTCCCCACGGGATTTTTGCAAGAACATGAGGCGATGAACAGGAACTGCTGTGATGCGTCTACCCTAAACAATAATTCCCGTACCTGGGAAGTTTAGATGCATCATTCAATCGGACTGGAACAATCCAGATTTCAAACAGCCTAAGAATGCTGGTCTAATCATTATTCTTTGAATATACACTGTTCTTTTCTGCCCATCCCTTTACCTTTGCTATTCCCTCTCCTTGGATTGCCTGCTCTCTTTGTCCAACCAGATAAATTGTGGACAAAAAAAAAACCAACCTGACCTTGGAGCTGGAAGACATCGATACATATCCTAGCTCATTAATAGCCATATGACATTGATAAATTCTTTATTATCTTTGTATCTAAAAAAATTAGGCTAATAATCCCTTCTTACGAATATTACAGAATTACCGCAAAGGTTCAGAGGAAGTGGTGACTTTTTGTAGATGAGCAAGGACTATCCAAATGTAAGGGAAAAACTATTTTATTTTCTGGCCGAAGACCAGAGAGGGGTGCCTTCAGGCACGGCTGAAAAGAGGCTGTCGTGATTGAAGAACCGTATCCTGAGCATTCCTAAACCTGACTGTAACCTATTACTTCTCTAATAAACCCCATAAACATGAGCATTGTTTGTGAGTTCTCTGTGGCCATCGCAACGAATTATCCAACCCAGCAGAGAAGTAGAGAGTGCCGTGGGAGGGACAGTTGGTGTCTGTGACATAAACTTTGAATGTTTATGCCTTGTCATTTCAACTAAATAGGTCCCTGAGAGCCAGATAGTCTTTGGACTTCTATGACCCATTCAGCACCTAACACGATCCTTCCTTATACATAGCAGGTATTTGATCAGTTCTCCTTAAGGTCTTCCTTGGTGAGGAGGTGTTCTCTTTGGATTCAGAAGGAAACTCCCAGACCAAGGAAAAGGATAAGAGCGAACTTCAAACGGTTGGAAATTAAGGGGAACCAAGTAAGGACTAGCTGCTCAAGTAACTCTTTATCTTGGAGTAACTTTTAGTTGAAAATAATACAAAGAATTCTTCAAATACAAAGCGTATTACACTTTTCCAGAAGACATTCACATACACTAAGAAGTCACAGGCTGGACTGTGACATAGTTTCTTCCAGGTATCAAGGTTCTAGGAAGTATCTTAGACCAGCTCTTCTTAGACTTTAATGTGCATATGGATCAGCTAAGCATCTTCAGAAAGTGCAGATTCTGATTCAGTAGCTTCTTAACCAGGTAGTTCTGTCTCGTTAAAACACAGGTATAAGGGGAAGGGTGGTAGATAATAAAGCAAGGGAGTGACAGGAGATGAGACTGGAAAGGTAGGTTAGGGCCAAGTTTTGAAGGACAAATACCATTTCAGGAGAGTAAAAGTAGTAGTAAGGAATAAGCACAGTAGTAAGCAATAAGAAATAGAGTTGGGATTCAAACCTAAGTGTATTTAATTCTAAGGCCTGAGCTCTTAGCTACTGTGCTAGGTTTTCTTTTGCCCCCAAGGTTGACCCCATTGTATATCTCCTCTACAGAGCAGGGGATAGTTTATCTCCATAATCACAGCTCAGATTCAAGGGTATCTCACCGTACCTTCTCCTAATTTTTAAATTAGGGTACAGTACTATGACCTGGAGCATCTCCATGGGACATTGCACTAAGGAAGGGTTGCCAGCTGGAGAGGTAGAACCACATGGAGCAGGTTTTCTCCCCTGTGTTTATTCTCTTGGTCTGGCTATGCTTCCTGGTTGCACAGGCCAGTGGCCACAGGATGGGGTAACCATCAGAGAAAGGAGATAAGGAGTTGCTTGCTTTGAGAATAAGAGGAAAGTAAGAGAAGTGTGACATTTGAAGTCAGCTGACTCCAAGTTTTAAAAAAAGGCTGGCTGTTCACAATGGCATAATCATGAAAGAAAGACAAGAACTAAATCAAACAAACAACCACTTTTATTATTACCCCTATGATCAGAAGGGAGGCCAATTATAAATCTTTGGGAGAGGCTGAAATCAAAGGAAAAGAAATATATGAAAAAATATAAAAACTACAGCAAAAAAGCAAACATTTCCATTTATACATAAACGATCACTTCTATATATGTTTCTATATAAACATGCTATAAGTGATAGAAGAATAACAAAAAGAAAGTGAGAGGTAGAAAACAAATGTCCCACTGTCACTCAGGTAGCTCAGAGGACATGAAGGCCAGGTGAAAGGCATTTTTCCACTATCAGCACTTACTGTAAAAAGGTGTGGGGGTGATGTTATCTGACCTCCTGTAATTTCACAAGGGGAAAGAAGAATCAAGATCAACAACCCAAAGCTGATTGCTATGAGGTGGCGGTCAGACATGCCCCCACCCTCCAACCTTTTTACCAGTTCTGACACCAACCATCCCTCCCATGGCACTCTACTTCTCTGCTGGGTTTGATAATTCATTGCAATGGCCACACTGAACGCACCAACAATACTTGTGATTATGGGGTTTATTAGGGAAGCAACAGGTTACAATTCAGGTTCAGGAATGCTCAGGATACAGTTCTTCAATCATGACAGCCTCTTTTCAGCCATGCTCGCAAGCACACCTCTCTCCGGCCCTCGGCCCCTCGGCCTGGCCTCTGTTCTGCTCTGGCAAGCGTTACAAAGCTTTTAGCTCTACAGATAAGTGCCTGGAGGAACACCACTCTGCCAGCAAACCTAGGTCAGCAAACCTAGCGCCAGCAAGTGCCTGGAGTCACCCTACTCCACCAGCAAGCCTCCTACCCAAAAGCACTCAGCTTTCTTGCTCCATGGGCTGGGAAACCCACTGGGCTGTCTCCTGCCTCTAGTGCCACTGTTTCTCTGCCACCGCTTCTCGCTGTCTTCGGTGTTACAGCTCTCTCACTTTCTCTCTCTGTCTCTCAGTCTCCTGGTTCCAGGAGCTTCTCAGCACAGAGATCCCAGGTCCAAAGGACATGCTCCACTACTGGCTCTTCTTTTTTGGTGGTGAGATCCTCTCCTTCTCACCTTTGGGATGGCTCACTTTAAGCCTAGCAGCATGAAAAAACCAACCAATCCCTTCGTTAGGGTTCCATATACTTTATTTGCATGGCCCCACCCCACCTTATTTACATTATTAGCAAGCTATCTAATCCCCTTGGTGGGCCACGAGCATCTCATTTGCATAGTCTCACCCAGTCATTTGGTGGGAATTACAAAGCCTATAGCTAGAAGAGCCATATTAAGTAATTCACTGCACCGCACTTATTAATTAGAGTTCTTTCCTTCCCCTTTGGAAAAAATACACTTGCCAGGCCTCTTCTTCTGGTGCTCCAAAAGAAAATGGTTTTCTCATACCTCAGGAAAGATATTTCATTAGGAACAGATTCAACACAAACTAACACCACACCCCTAATCAGTAGACACCAACCCCAACTCCAGAAAGGCAAGCTTAAACTATCCCTCCTGTTTTTAATGGCCTGTGATTATAAGCGCTCGGCTACTAACCAAAAGGTCCACAGTCCAAAGCCACCAGCTGCTCCACAGAAGAAATATGTGGCAGTCTACTTCCATAAATATTACAGCCTTGGAAACTCTATGGGGCAGTTCTACTCTGTCCTATAAGGTTGCTATGAGTCAGAATCGACTCAACAGCAACAGGTTTGGTTTCGTTTGGTTTATGATTATAAACCAGAAGTTATCATCTAGAGAAGACACCACCATCTTTTTATGAGAAAGAGCAATAGCTCTTAATTTCCTGAAGCTTTGTGGGGAGGGGAACAAGAGAAAGGAAGGATACTTGAGAATGACATCAAGCCTAAATCCTTCTTATGCAAGCTCCTGAGCAAAATTGTTTTGTTCCCAGTTGGGAGCAAGTCTCCCCTTCTAGGATAGTCATGCTTCTCTGAGGTCTCTGGAAAAACTTACTAGATTTAGAGAATGGGCAACCTTTAATCACCATACTAAGTTCCAAGAGCATCAGAGGTTTCATTAATCTTACTCCCTGAGACAGGGTGATATAGCTTTAGCTTCACCAAGGATAACTCCATGCCAGTGCACATCAAAATTTAGTAGCACACTCTGATCAGACCTCAATCCATATCTCACTGCCCCTCTCTGGTCCACCAGCCTGAGCTTCCAAAGTCCTAGGTCTTTTTGATTCAGTTATCTAGCTTTGATTCAATTTACCTCTCTCAAAACTGAATGACAGAAACTGGTTCAGCAGTCTATTACAATCCGCCCCACACCCTGACCTTAAACTGTTGTTGTTAGGTGCTGTCGAGTCAGTTCATAGCGACCCTATGTACAACAGAACAAAACACTGCCTGGTCCTGCTCCATCCTCATGATCTTTGTTATGCTTAAGCCCATTGTCGCAGCCACTGTGTCAATCCATCTTGTTGAGGATCTTCCTCTTTTTCGCTGACCCTCCACTCTACGAAGCATGATGTCCTTCTCCAGGGACTGGCCCCTCCTGATAACATGTCCAAAGTATATGAGACGTAATCTCGCCATCCTTGCTTCTAAGGCGCATTCTGGCTCTACTTCGTCCAAGACAGATTTGTTCGTTCTTTTCGCATTCCATGGAATATTCAGTATTCTTCCCCAAAACCACAATTCAAAGGCGTTAATTCTTCTTCAGTCTTCTTTATTCATTGTCCAGCTTTCGCATGCATATGAGGCGATTGAAAACAGCTGGCTTGGGTCAGGTGCACCTTAGTCCTCAAGGTGAGATCTTTGCTTTTTAACACTTTAAAGAGGTCTTTGCAGCAGATTTGCCAAATGCAGTTCATCTTTTAATTTCTTGACTACTGCTTCCATGGGTGTTGATTGTGGATCCAAACAAAATGAAATCCTTGACAACTTCACTCTTTTCACCATTTGTCTTGATGTTGCTTATTGGCCCAGTTGTGAGGATTTTTGTTTTCTTTATGTTGAGGTGTAATCCATACTGAAGGCTGTAGCCTTT